CCGCATCGCTCGCAAACAATATAAAATCGCCCGAACCCTGGAACCCAGGCCCGCTACCCACAGCAGCAGCAGCAGCCCTCCTAGCAGGCGACTCAAAACCACCAGAAGCTTGGAGACCTTCAACTCCTTCGAAATCTGCTTCTCAAGCTGCGATAAGTGTTCGACAAAGAGCGCATACAATGCCTGAATCCAAGCGCCCCGGGCAGCAGCAGCCGCAATCGACTGCAAATGCTCTCGCCGCAGCAGGGATTGCAAACTCGCCCAAAAAACTCTCAAAACCCGCACCGAAGTCACCACCTACGCTTGCCTACGATATTAATAAAGTCAACGCTCTGGCCGCACAGAATGCACAAAATCGACTTTCTGCTGCTTCGCAACCTAGATCGGCGCTACCACAATCACAGACTGATAAGAACATGTCTGATATCCTTCGCGCGGCTAGCATATCCATGGCCAAAAATATGAGCAAATCACCTCCTCCTGGCAATAATAATACTACAAGACAAAATATGGCATCGGGTACATCGATGCCACCTGGTAGTTACTATTCACATATCCCAACATCACCGAAGAAGAATACCCCTGCGGAACAGAAGTTAAATAGGAAATCTTCAACGCAGGCGGCTTCTATCGCTGCTTCGAGCGATTTACATTCTGTTGTGTCAGGAGATAGCGATGAAAGGCAGATAAGATACTACCCACATCTCGAAGAAGCAGCTCGAAAGGCTGCTTCCGAGCGTCTTGCTCGTCTTCAGGCAGAACACGATCGAGCTCGTAAAGCATCCGGTTTGCCGCCTAGTTGGCAAGCTGGTGGGAAAGGACCCACTACCCGTGCTCGTTCTTCGACAGCACCATCTAGCGCTCCGAAGGCTTCGCAAGCCTCGAAGGCTGCTGCGACAACTACTGGTGCCGCACCTCGCCGCCAACCGGATGCAACAGACTACGCCCGCTCCATGAAAATCAAGTCCGACACCGCAAAGCTTACGAAACAGATCGATTCAGTCGATAAAGACCGTCAAGCTCGTGATTACCTCGCCCTCCTTGCAGTCGCCGAAAGGAATGTAAAATCCCAAATGCAGGATTTGGAAACTAAAGTGGCCGAAGATCAAGGACGGGTGCCAAAACATCTACAGGCTGAGTGGGATGCTAAAGCTAAGATGTTGAGCGCTGAGTATGAAAGGAAACGAGCTGAGGAGACTGAGAAGAAGAAAGGGAAGATTAATATGGGTGGTGGGTTATGGTATGATCAGGAGGATTTGGAGAGAATTGCACGAGGGAATGTACAGCCGATTTTGGATGAGATCAATGTTAAGGCGGAGAAGGAACGTGCAAGGATCGAGGCTTTGAGGGTTGAGAAGGAGGCAGCTGATAAAGAGAAGAAGGCTGAGCAGGAGAGGGTTGCGGGTGTTAAAGCTGAGACCAAGAAAGCGAAAGGTGAGAATCCATCGATACTCCTTGTTGGAAAGTTGTTGGTATTAATTTGGTTTTTTTTCTTTTTTGTTAGTATTGGAGAAAGCAGCAGCGAAATCACGACGAGACGCCGAGAAGGCAGAAGAACGTGAAAGGAAAGCAGAACTCAAGAAAGCTCAAAGGGAAGAAAAGGAACGAGTAAAACTTGAAAAACAGACTTCGAAAGCGGCAGCTATACCTCTACCGGCTGAAACTCGGAATCTTGAAGAAACTGCAGGCGTAGGAGCAGACGCCGGTTCAGATATGGAAGAGTTGGAACCACGTCCAATGTCGCAAGCTGGTCATGAGCGAGTTGATCGCGAACGAGAGATGCATGAGGCAGCGAAAAAGGAGAAAGGATGGTTTGGAAGTCTCCAGAAGAGGATTGCGAAGAGAGTCCCTGGAACCAAGAAGAAAGAGAAGGGCGCTGTTGGAGGTGATGTAGCTATGCCCGGTGTCGCTGAGGTCGATGAGTTTGATCCTGCGGATAACCAAAGCATATCTTCGATCTCGTCTCCTGAGCGTCCGAGCTCTACAAGAGATGTAGCATTGGCGGGTACAGTCAGCGCAGTTTCATCGGACAACGAGGCAGAGCCTCCTGGAACGGTATTCGTTGGTGGGGCTGGATTACAGGCCGTTGATACTACGCCTGGTATTGTCGCCGGACCCAAATATGTGGATTCAGATTCGTCGAGTACTAGTTCCGGAGATTTGTATACCGCAGAGCCGAGCTATAAGGGCCTAACATCTGCAACATATAACCCTGGATTGGAGGATGAAGGGCTAGGAATGCCGGCTTTTATCCCGGAGACTAGTAGCAGGAGATATTCTACTAGTTCGGATTCTTCACTTGAGAGCGCCGGGGTTGCAGAGAAGACCTTTGGAGAAGAGGCGGGTCCATCTACAGAGGTAGCTACGACGGAGGAAGACGCTAGGGATACGTTCGGAAGCACGCTTTCGGGAAAGGTTAAGAAGTCGCTTGAAGAGTTTGCTAGGGGAGGAACTGGAACAGAGGTTCCACAAACGTCGATGGAGACTCCGGTCACACAGGTCGAGCCGCCCACGCCTATTGAAGAGTTGAAAGCACCGGTTATGCCCGCTGCCGCTGCCGCCGCTACGGAAGGAAGTTCGAGAGGGTCTATGGATAGTACTCGAGAAAAGAGGTCAAGTCGGTTTAGTGAGATTTTGTAAAGGGAATAGCAGCGATACATTGTTGTTTTTGTGCTTTTTACATGACTTTATGGGACGCGAACGAAATGTTCTTTTCTGTTCTTTCTTTATTTAGCCTGTTTCGTTTAACTTTTTGGAACAGTCGTACGTACACAATGAGGGTTGGTTGTATCAAGCGTTTGGGATAGCCCGTTTTTATGAATTTTTTATATGATGCGATGCTATCGAATTACTTACTTTTACTTAAGTATTTAGTTGTGATCCCGAGGGGAACCAATACACAAGGACCTTGATATTTTACAAAAAAACAATCTAATACTCTTTTTGTCATTATATACCTATATGGGCTTAATATATTCACGTCAAGCACCAAACGATAACATCCCCTTTCCTTCTCCAATCATCATGAAAATGACTATTAAAGAACCTCTTACACTCCGCATACCTCCCCTCATCCCTTCCGATCCTCAAATACCCCTGTATCAATTCCGCCGTAGCCCCAAAAGTAACCAACTTGTCAGGCCATGGCGTTTTCCCCTCCAACTTATCCTCCTCTTGACCTTCTTTTGCTTCTTCTTTCTTCAACGGCGGCCTTCCAAACCTTCTATACAAAAAATCCGTGGGATTGTTATAAAACTCATCTGCTTCGTCGATATACTCCTCCCTCTCAGCGATGGGAATACCAATCGGTGGTTCACATGTTAAAAACCATGCGCTGGGGGTATCATCCCTCACCCCTGCGTTCCACAAATAACTTCCGAACGGGGTTGAATGGCATGGCATTAGGAATCCTACTCTTGCTCCTCCTAAGCTTGCTATTCCATCCTTGTTGGGGGAGGAGGAGGAGTAGTGTTCATGTCTCAACCAGTTGACTACATCCACCACACCCCTCTGGTGTACATAACTAGTATAATAAGCAACCGGGAGGTTGATACCCAACATCAAAGCCACCAATATCCATTTCTTTGTTGTTTTCTTAGGAAGATTCGGAACCCCCAACCCGGCTATTAAAACATGGAATATAGGTAACAAAGGGTATAAAAACCTAACCTCCTTATGTTGCGTAGTCATGAACGCAATAGGCACCACCGCCAATAACCGTGTTAAATGCGTGGTCGGGGAGTAACTAGACGGATCGTTCAACCCACTGAGGAACGAGTATATACCCAACGGGAGATATCCAGTGAGTAATAACGGTAACCCCTGGGAGTAATAATAATGCCAAGGACTCGTTCCATAAAACGAAGAGATGGATTGGGATACGTTCAATCGATAGAATTCTATGAACGGCAGGGTAGGACGGTTGTAGAATGTATAGTCTATCCAACCGTTTATTGAAAGGATTATTAAGCTCACTATTATGATCTGGAGGATTGCGAAGAGACGTTGGGGGAGGGTGGGGAGGTGTTGGAGGATTAAAGGGCCGATTGACCAGGTTATTAGACCGTTTGTGGGACGAACGGTGAAGGAGATTGAGGCGAGGATGGCGGAGATTGTTAGGTCTTTAGAGGAAAAGGATTTCCAGGGCCAGTGGTAGATTCCTATTATTGTTAATGTGGTTTCGAGACAGTTTGAAAATGTTCTGGTGGAGCAGAACCAATTCCAGGCGCTGAAGAGGCTCAACAATAACTTAATGATAAAGTCAGTTAGTATATTGTGTAAATATGGTTGAGAGGAGGGGGGTGACTTACTGCATATGTCCCCGCTTCCTTTCCGTATATCTTCCTTGCCAGGAGACCGGTATATACATCCCCCAAAGCGGCGGTAATAGCTCCCACGACCTTTGGAGCGACGACAAGAAGCTCTGCGGTCGTTGCCGGCGAGAGGTTCAATGCGTTTGATATTGAATCTACGAGGCTATATACCCCCTGAAATATTCGAGGGTATAGCACTGATCGTAGCGCATGGTGCCATTCCTATAAAAACCCATTGTTAATCATAAACCTTCTTGAATTAATTAAGAAGCTGCTTGTGGGGTATATTAGATATATAAGGTTATATACCCAAGTTATATATCCAGCACCGACGGACCGTTGACTCGCCGCGATCTCGAGGGATTGGAAGTATTCATCCGGTTGGAAAAACGTAGATATCGTAAGGGCGTTTTGGAGTCTGATGCCCAATACAATTAGGAATACGAAGAAAGGCGTGTTCTTCGTGAATATGGACATTTTTTTCCCCCTTCCTTCTCTTCTCCCTATTGTTTAATTGAGGAGTTCGAGGATGAACGCGGAGTCCGACGTGGTTTTTATAAGTTGGTTTTCGTTGAGTGCGAAACGGGCCTATGTGTTGCTCGCACCAACACATCTGTTTGTTGGTGTTTGACTTCCAAAATGGAAAAAAGTTACTGTATGAGAAGATTTCAAAAAGCAAAAAATAAATTCCGACACCGGGAATCGAACCCGGGGCTGTTCGGTGCTAATCGGATTTCGGAGGAATTCCAATGAGAGCGAACGATGTTAACCACTACACCATATCGGATGGTTATTCATATCTGGGACGTCATAGTTGTGATATCTATTACGCTTGACGCTCTTGTCATTGAAGTTTGCAACAGTGGGTGGGTGGATTTCGTGTTGATGCTAGGTTTGGGGGTGATATAGATAAGGGAATGATTGTGGAGCTGACGGTGGCTCTTTGATGAGTTAGTGACTGCTAGGCTATTTAGTGTTTATTCTGTTATTTATGGTTGTGTTTAGTATGTGAAGCGGATAGTGTTAAGAATCAAAGCATTAAGCTCATGGTACCATATGGTAGACGGTATCCACATTTAGCCTCGAGACCATCCACATTTTCAAATCTATAGATCTTCAGACTTCCAATTGTAAAAGCCAACGGTACAATTCATAAGTATGGTTGTAATTACTCCAAAGTCCCTGATCTGTGTCCTACTCCGAAACCGACTCGAATCTAAATACATTCGAATATATTTCACCCCCGGTCGTCGGCGAGGTCCATCCCAAAAACCTCCATCGATCAGCTAACTTCCAACCAAGCGGTACACCATACTTCTCAACCTCATCCACATGATTAAACCCAGCCATAAACGCCCTTCCCCTCTCCGTCTGAGCCTTCTTATAAGTATCCGGTATTTCATCGATAGTAAAAGTAACGGAGGTCGTTGCCAACTGAAACACACGAGACAGAACTAACGATAACTCATTCGGTTCCAGAAAATGGAAAGCTCCGATACATATGATATGGTCTACTCTCTCTTTCTTAACAATTAATAACCGCTGCATGGGACCAACGAGGATATTACTATATAATCCATGCCGAAGACATTCCGTTCTCATCTGTAACGAAACATCCATCCCAACAAACCTACTACGGGACTGTGGATCATCGTGAAGCCGAGCTACCAGTCCGGTCCCACAAGCGATATCAAGAACAACGCCGTCGAAATTGTATTTTTTGACAATACCCTTGACCCCCTCGTGATAGATGCCCGCGGTTACAGTATCATATTTGGAAGCAGCAGTATCGTATTCCTGACCGATCTGACGGGAAATCTCGAAGTTTCGATTCCGTTTGAGGAAGTAGGAGGCTATTATGGAGTGGATTAAGGATCGATAGCTTCCCGGGAAGGATTCGCGGACAGCAATGGCCTCGTGTGATAGGTTTTTGCCGTCTGAGGTGAATGGGAATATGGTTTTTGGCATGGGGTTTATTCCTATTATGGTCGGTTTTGAATCTTGGTCGAGGCGGATGAAGAAGGTACACCAGAAGGTTCCGTGGAGGTCATTCGCATAGAATGTATCCTCTGCAAGTTTTTTGATTGCATCGCGGGAGAATGGACTATAGGATGGTTTGAGAGGGACTCCGAGGTAGGCAAGGACGGGACATAATGGTATAGCTGTGTTATCGAGTTCTATAGTTGTACATGAGTAATCATCCCCCACAGTCGTTTCCTCCTCCTGAGCGACGCCAGGGCTCCTGATCACCAAATTACCAGAGTTGTCTAGCCCACATCTTTCCAAAATGCGGCTGGGCAAACCAATAACCGGAATTGCTAGATACTCGATATACTTCGCAGCAGTCACCGCGGATTGATTGTGATCATTTCCGTACCAAGTCCAGTGGAGGAAGTTGAAATACAGATCAAAACTTTCGGCAGCCGCGAAGTTTAGGTCTTGTTTGATGGTGTCTTTGCTGATAAACCGTTGTTCGAAAGTGTGTCTATCTGTGAAGAGTGCGATATCGGAATATCGTGGATCGTCTTCCTGGCCTGGTGCCGCGCGGAGCAAGCATATTCTCATCTTGAAGATATATGGCCCCGTTCCCAGGAGATATATCGATATATCGATATTCAGTTATTAGGAAGCTTTGGAGTTGGGTATATTGGTTTTGACCGTTCACCCAAAACTAGCACCGGTACAAATGTTTGAATTGTAAAAGATGTTCGAACGATACAATTCAACTAGCCCCCTCCAGAGGATACACAATCGACTAGCCTATTTTGGCAGGTGTTTCATAATATCATAGGAAAAGTTCGATTCGGATTTAAGTCAAGTACGTGCAACCTGAGAATTCGATTGCGGTTGTGCTAATCTAATTTCACGGCTTAGGTGCGCCATTTACCTGGCCAGGCCAGGTTTTATAGTTTATAGGCTATGTATTACCCCGCGCCTGCATACAGGTATCGATAACGCACTGCAGGCCTACAAATTTATTTGATATCAATTGATATGATCCGTTCGTTATATTATAGGACTTCAAAATTTACACAGCATACAATATGGTAAACATCTTTATCTTTCTTCTTGCTAATCTACACAAAATCATCCTCATTTTAGTAAACAGGTATTACCAGCTATAAATGTACTGCCTACTGCCAGTTGCTATTCCTATCCACATTTGCTCACTGGCTGGCAACATGCAACATGCAACACACCAGCGCTTCCACAGGAATTCTTTATAAGAACCTAGCCTCGATTCCATAAGAACCCTCAATATCAATGTCACCGGGCTATTGATCATCCATGCCTTTAGTTAGGCTGCTAATGAGCATACGGACTTAGAAGTATGCTTTGGCTCGGTTTGCGGCATAAAATATCTACAAGAATGATAATAATATGTCTTCGGCCGAAATATCAAAAGAAGTTCGGTCCCGGTGAATAATTAGAAAACCCGACCTCGCTTCAAACCCGAATTCCTGGTATATCGGACCTATCCCAGTATTAATATAACATAATATATAATAATATATAATTAAGAAATCCAAAAATCCCAAACTCCCATAACTAATTCTAAAAAAAGAGGTTCTCCATAATTAAACTTTATAGCCTATATTGAATATCCTAGCCTCTAGAGTGGCATCTTAGTTAATGTATTGACATTTACTTTGAGCTGTTCTTCTGCTTTTTAGAAACACAAAAAAAGAATCTGTTAGTTTATGGTACCAAAATGAGTCCAAACACTTGCATAAAATGTGTTTTTCGTTTTGCAATTGCAAAGGCAAGTAGCGAAGGGAGTAATAATGATACTACTCGCAGTGAGAAAAATCAAATTGGAGATATTGTAGCGGAGGACAGACAACCAGAAGATCCGCTGGATATAATGCCACTGCATTTGATCCAGTACCATCGAGCACCTAGCTGAAATATAGGACTTCCTACGAGACAAAGGAGTTCCGCCAAACCCAGATATTTGGACCTCAAACCGGATATAGTAAATCAGAAACACCAAAGGAGCAAATCAAGGACAACTTACAGGACATGAATTACATCGTGATTGTGATTTCCACAGTAAGCATTCGCGCGAACATATCCCCTAAAAGAAACCCAGTCAGCTCACGATAAATCACAGATCCCACAAACTTAAGCGCGGAAGTACAAAAATAAACCAAGCTTTAAGGAACAAAAAAAGGGGGGGTACTATACCTCAGGCCAGTAAACTCGATTTCGATCCACGACATAAATAATAATGGCATTGCCATCTTGATATACCAAACTTGGCTTTTGTCCGGATTCTATATCAGCGATGACTGCTTTAATATTAGGGATTTGTTTCCGGCAAGTTTTGGGATTTTCTAATATGGCGTTTAGCTCTTGGAGTCTAAGCTGTAGGTCTGGTGGAATTTTCACAACGGGAGGTTGCGAATCCGGTGCGTCTGATTCTCGTGTCGACATTTGGTTTAAATTTTGGGGATTTTAGATTACGTATACTGGAGGCATATATGGGAAAGGATAGGAGAAGTTAAGATATATCGATTGTTACAGATATAGGATAAATTATAAAGCATCTTGATCGAGTAGAGAGCTAATATTTTTGCAATCGCTATTTATACTATTGCTATATCTAGCCTTACGAAATACAACGTCTTTATTTAGGTACTAGCTTAGAATAACTTCAAAATTATGAAGAATGACCCGCACCAATCAATATAATACATTTAATTATATCTCAAAATTAAAAGTCCATTGATGGAAATCCGTTCATCCTTTCCATACGTACCGTAATTATAACCTGTGTGCAAGAGTGCAGTGGTACCCGGAGTTAAGTGTGCACGTGAAGCGCAAGCTAGGGCTCGGTTATTTACATGCGCGCGGGGGGCTCCACATGCACAATTCAATTCCCCTCTCAGCCCTTACCATGCAGTGCAAACGTACAATACTAATTGCTAAGTCCTTATGTAAGAGTAACCACCTCCATTGAGTTTTTAACAAGATGTAAGGCGTTAGACTAGTCATGCATTGTAACATCTATCAATGCCGGCATGCATTGCCGTTATGATTTTTTATTTTATTTGTCTCCGTCGGAATATCTTCCCAGACGGAATATGGGTTCTATATCATTTTTGTTATATAATAAAACCTGGGGCGGCGATGCGAGAGGGTTATATATTTACCTGTTGACTTTAACACCCATTCAAGTCCTTCGTTTTGATACTTTATAGACCGAGGGGTTTTACTTTTATATATATATACCTTCTATCTTATAATTTAATTAAACGGAACCAATAGAAAAGTTAATCAGAATCGATCTCAGCGAATATAATTATTCTTAAACGCTACGATGCAGACTACTTGGGCGACTCAGACTCGAAACCGCTTCCCGGCGGTTGCGGGGACCCCCCAGGTTTATATGGATAACGCTGGTGGAAGTCAAGTTTTGGATGTTGTGATTGACTCGTGAGTCTAAATTATAACTTCCGTCCATATACTTCATAATCGAAACTATTAGAAGATATCTTCATGAACAATTGAATTGCTGGCTAACATGTGGTTCTGGTTCTCGTTCTGGTTCAAACCCCGCATAGTATCACGCATTATCTATCGAATACAAACGTCCAACTCGGAGCTTCATACGTCGTCGGCACGAAATCGAATAATCTTTTCGCCGCCGGTCTTCTTGCCTCTGCCAAATTTATAAATGCGGACCCCGGAGAAGTTGGTCAGTAAAACAATATACATCCCAAACCTTTCAGACTTTTCTATTAGTTACTGCCTATACTAATTGATGTTTGAATTTTTTGGGGG